AAAAGGGAAGTTTCAGTTTCCCTGCCCCACCCAGAAGGAGGGTGGAGCTGAGCAGAGAAAAAGGAGAAGAGAGAAGGAGAGAAGGAAGCTGGATGGAGAACAAGGAGACCTGAGGAAGCCATATGGAGCAGGAAGCATGTGATAAAGAAATGGGGCTTGTTTCCTGACCCTGGACTGGTTAAGGCAGATGTGGGTGAGATACCTGTAGGGAGGTGACTATGGCAGTGTTTATATTGATTTTGATTTTGCTCTTTTGCTCCCATATTTGTCAGGCCATTTCTGACCCTTTTCCATGGGTCCTGGCCAGAAGGTGCTTTGGGCCAATCCCTTTTGACTTTTGCCCACGAGGGGATGGGTAACTTCACGTATTTGATTTAGAAGTTACATTCTTTGTGGTCCATATTGTATATTCACTGTATTAAAGTCCCTTTTCATTAAAGTTTTATATGTTTTGTCTTGTTGCGGCAGAGGGCAGAACCCACTTAGAGCAGGCAGGTTTGGGAGCTTCAGGGGTGTCCCTCTCCCCCTGTCCTGTAACAAAACCACAACTCAGGTATGAAAACCTAGTACAGTTACGCCATACACTATAAAGAGTGCTTTCCACAATAGACCTTCCTCAGTAGGAAACAGAATCTTAGAATCTTGTCTTACACCAGTAATCAAACAGATCCAGAATAGCAAATATGCCCCAAACAAATTATGTAGACAGAATTCACAACAGCAAACCTTTTAGACTCAATATCTTTTCTAATTTTTCTGATCTAGACTTTGAAAAAATTCAAGCTATCTCCAAGAATCCATTAAGGTTACCAGTATTTACCAGTTACATAGCAAGGCTTAGACTTTCTTTGCATCCAAGCATACATTATTTGCTAACTTAACCTAAACACCACTGCTCCATTGTTGGTTTACAAACCCCTGAGGCAAAGATCAGGGAGTAGTCAAAGTCAAAGGAACCTACTAAAAGCAACCCATCATTGCTTTTAGAAATGCTAACAAGGTCTGCAAAAACAGCAGAGGTCACAAAAAAAAGTCCAAAGTCCTAGCAACTTAACTTCAGTTAACAAAGGAAGTAGAAAATCTTAGGAACCCAAAAGAACAAAAACTTCCAAGTTTCAGAGAAGCCAGCGAAGGGCCTCAGATGCCATTTTTGATCTGTCCACATGGCCCAAACTGCTATCTTTTGAGTAAAACTGCTACACAATTTCCACAAAACCAAATCTCTTAGCAAGTGGCCACAACAGAATTGTACACTTACACACAGAAATTTTCACAAGGCCAAGCCAGTTTTTAACAACAAATCTGCATCTGAAAAAAACTGGAAACAAAAACCACATTTGCGTTTAAGGTAGTCAGTGCCATGGGGAAGCCAACTTTCCTCATGGGGCTGACTAACCACGGATGGCTCTAATCCTACAATGTTGGGCGCCAAATCTGTTATAGGTCAGGGAGAGAGGTGCACTCTGAAGCCCCAAAACGTGCCTGCTCTAAGTGAGTTCTGCCATCCAGCTTCCTTCTCTTCTTCTCTCTTCAGCTCCACCCTCCTAATGGGTGGGGAAGGGAATCTGGAACTTCCCCTTTTCCTAGGGACCACCCTGTTACACTGTTACAGGACAGGGAGAGAGGCAACCCAGAAGCCCCAAACCTGCGTGCTCTAAGTGGGTTCTGCCATCTGCTGCATCAAGACAAAACATATAAAACTTTAATGAAAGGGGACTTTAATAGAGTGAGTACACAATACAGAAGACAAAGAATATAGTGTCTAAATCAAACACCTGAAGCTATCCATCCCCTCGTGGGCAAAAGTCAACCAAAAGGGATTGGCCCAAAGCAAGGCCTGAAAGCCCACCACGAAACTAAAAAACCTTCTGGCCGGGACCCATAGAAAAGGGTCAAAAATGGCCAAACAAGTTTGGGAGGAAAAGAGCAAAATCAAAATCAATATAAACACTGCCATAATCACCTCCCTACAGGTCTCTCACCCACATCTGCCTTAACCAGTCCAGGGCCAAGAAACAAGCACTGTTTCTTCATCACATGCTTGCTGCTCCATGTGTCTTCTTCACATCTCCCTTCTGGCTCTCCATCCTGCTTCCTTTTTTCTTCTTTTTCTCTCTTCAGCTCCACCCTCCTTCTGGATTGGGCAGGGAACCTGGAACTTCCCCTTATCCTAGGGACCACCCTGTTACAGTCCTTATGGAATGATTTTATGCAAAAATAAAAAAATGGTTAAGAAGTAGATTGCATTTGCAAATACTTTGGCATATTGTTGGATATGTTGGAGTGTAAAATATTGCCGCGTTCAATAATGACCGAGGCCCATGTCCGATGCAAAAACAAACGAGACTTTATTATGCTAGCTCAAGCCAGGATCCTTCCTTTACGTGCCCTGTCACAGCAGGCACACCCCTCAAGGAAGGATCCCGAAGATCTACAGAGTGGGGTTTATAAGGGCAGTTAGTAGGCCTGGGGATTTTCCACTGAGTATGTCCTTTGGTGGTGGGTGCCTGCAAATTCCTGTTTGTCCAGATGTTAGGGACACAGCAGACAGACAGATGCTGGGAACTTATCTTGATCAGGCAGGACTCTAGGCTTATCTCTGGGAACCCACCAGGCCAGCACCTTCCAGGAACAATGGCTCTGGAGGGGGGCGAGCTGTCTAGTGGGAACTAAGTTTTTACAACATTCCCAACAGATAGAGTTGGGATCAAGATTGAGATTTTTTCAGTCAAACCAACAGGCTCCTGAACAGAGCCTGAAAAAGCAGAATCAAAATATCAGCAGTTAACTGACAATTAAAAGGTGTCATCTCTTTCTGTTAACCACTCTGGGACAGAAGCTCAAAGAGCAGATTCAACATCAAAGTACAGATTACACCTCCCCCACACTAGGAAGAAACTGCAGCACTATGGGTATGAAAACCTGGTGGTTATATCATGCACCAAAAGTGTGCTCTTCACAACAGAACTTCCTCAGTAGGAAGCAGAATCTTGTCTTACAACAGCAATCAAACAAATTAAGAATTCAAATGGCAAACATGCCCAAATGAATTGTGTAGACAAAACTCACAGCAACAAATCCTTTTAGACTCAGACAAAATCTTTCTAATTTTTCTCATCCAGACTTTGCAAAAATTCAAGTTATCTCCAAGAAGCCACTAAGGTTACCAGCATTTACCAGGTACTGTTCAAGGCTTAATCTTTTTTAGCACTCAGGCATACATTTGCTAATTTAAAGGGCACAGCTCCATTGCTGGCTTACAAAACCCTCAGGGAGAGATAAGGAAGTGGTCAAAGTCAAAGCAACCTGCCACAGAAAAACCGTCATTGCCTTTAGAAATGCTAATGAGACCCGTACACAGCAGAGATCACCAAAAAAATGTTGAAAGTCCTAGCAACTTAAATTTTGTTAACAAAGGAAGGGAAAATCTTAGGAGGAGCCCAAATAAACAAAAACTTCCAAGTTTTCAGAAGAAAGCCATGTGACCTCAGCTGCCATCTTTGATCTGGTCTAACCTATTACGATCTTTTGAGTAAAACCGTGGGAAATTTCCACAAAATCAATTTGTTACAGGTCAAGGAGAGAGGGGCACCACTGGACCCCAAACCTGCCTGCTCTAAATAGGTTCTGTGTCCACCACAGAACAAAAGAGCTTTAATGGGAAGGAACTTTAATACAATGAGTGTGTAATACAGAAAAGACAAAGAATATAATTTCTAAATCAACACCCGAAGTTACCCATCCCCTCATGGGTAAAAGTCCACCCAAAAGGGATTGGCCCAGAGCAAGGCCTGAAAGCCGGCCACAAGTATCTCCTGGCCAGTCCCATAGAAATGGATCAGAAATGGCAAGACCAGTCTGGGAGGAAAAGAGCAAAATCAAAATCAAGATAAATGCTTCCATTGTGAACTTCCCCACAGGTCTCGCACCCACATCTGTTTCAACCAGTCTAGGGTCAAGAAACAAGCACAGTTTCTTCACATCTCTCTCTGCTCCATGTGCCTTCCTTAGGTTTTGTAAATCAAATATCCAGTTTCCCATCCCCTTATGGGTAAAAGTCTCCCCAAAAGAGACTTCCCCGAAGCAAGGCCTGATAGCCTGCCACAGTCTAAAGCACCTTCTGGTAGGGACCCGTAGGAAAAGGTCAGAAATGGCCAGACAAGTCTGGAAGGAAAGAACATGAACAAAATCAAAATCAAAACAAACACTGCCATAGTGAACTTCCTCGCAGGTCTCTCATCCATATCTGTTTCAAACAGTCCAAAGCCAAGAAATAAGAGTCACTTCTTCATATGTCTCTCTGCTCCATGTGCTTCCTTAGGTCTTGTAGCTTTTCGCTTTCCATCCTTGTTCCTTCATCCTCAGTCTCTTCTCCAGATATTTCTCCTCCCTGCTTAGCCCACCATCCTTTAGGTGAGGCAGGGAACCTGGAACCTCTCCCTTTCCTGGGGACCACCCTGTTACATTACTAATAGACAAGAAGACAGGCTTTCTATATTTATTAAGAAAGATAGTCACAATTTAAAATAATATCTTTAGGGTACTCTCTGGTAGTGCAGTGGGTTGAGGTACAGCTTTATGAAGCTATCAGCACCTACTGCACAGTGAGTTTGATCCCCAGCCAGGGAGGTGATCCACATGATCTGGCAGACATCGCCAGTCTCCACAGCTGCTTCCCTCTGCAGTGTATTTCAGTCAGTCAGCCTGTTTTGTTTCAGCTCTGTCTCTGGTGAATCCTCTTATCCCATGCCACCCTACTCCCGCACCTCTGGACTGTAGCCCAGTTCCTGTGTGCATAAATAAATATCTTTTTAAAAAAATGATAACTTTAAAGATGGAATTGAAGTCTGTTTTTCTAACTTTTTCTCTTTTTGCTACATAAGATCTGTCTTGGGAAATGCCTGACCTTTGATCTATCATGATGAAACTGATGGAAAACATAGAATAATGTTGTGAATGAAGACACTTGACAACTGGCTTTTAAATGTTTTAAATTCCAGTTCAGCAGAGAGTCCTAGAGAGAGACAACCACGAGTTAGTATGGCCTGGAAAAGGAACATTCAAGCTAACTGTCAAATTGCCCACAACCACAAACAAAGTCCACAATGTTCTTGAGGAAGAAATTCCAGTGAAGGTAAGTTAAATAAAAGAATAAGTTGTTCTTGTAAGATATGTGGGAGGGGATTGCAATGATAAACATGAGAAGTATTACTCAAACTGGAGAGAGAAAAATGACTTACAAAATAGAAAGTGTGAGAGTGTGAAGAGTAGGTATGGAATACTGAAGGAGGGACAGTTTGTTTGATTTTTTACACGTTTAGAAAAGACAAGACTTGGACATTACAATGATGTTGGTTGAAATGTAAAATTTGGGGTTTGTTGGGGTGCACTATAACCTGGAACTTAGTGTATTTGTTTCATTTTTGTCATTGTTTTGAGGGGACAATGACCCACACCACATGCCCTGATGTTTCCTCAACTTGAATAATGTCCCCATATGGGGCAGTCAGCTGCTGAGGATGAAAGTGGGCGACCTATGTCGTGAGCCAGGCATGGTGCTTGCTCACAGTGACCACCCAGGGAATATTAAGTGCAGAAATGGGCATGAGCTACACTGTGACTCTGGTTTAGATCTTACCTCACACATTGAGTTCTGTTTCCTGGGTTTCTGGTCTTTGGGACTTGTTTGTACCAGTTCTGCTGACTGAGTGGGTGCGGCAGACACCCTATCAGAGTCACTCTGAGCCTCTCATGGACTTCTCTCTAAGTCCCATAGCTCCAGGCTGCTCCAAGAGACAATTTGTCAATGTAAAGACATGATTGCGAATTCATTAATGCTGCTTTATTGTTTGGGTTTCAGGAATCCAAGACTCAAGTCCATGCCAAAGAGCCAGGTAAGATCTCCCCTCTGAAGTAGCTTTGCTTTTCCTCAAGAGGGTACAGCCTTGCCAGTCCCCTCCTCTTGGTTTTACAAGGCAGAGTTTGCTTAGCTGTGTGATGCCGAGGGCTTGCATCGTCTACATGCTTGGTGCCACAAATATAGAGGGCAAGTCTGGAGTTGGTCCTCGAGTTTCTAGGGCTCAGGTGAGAAGGATAGGAACGGCTTATCATGTGTGAATAAACACCTAGCAATGGAAAGGAGGGCAAAAATCTACATGGAAGATGGGTGAACCAACCTTTAAAACCCATTTGTCTCCTACTGGTCATTGAGAAGCCAAGGCATGACATGCTGCTGCCTTGGGTGGCAAAACCAGTTTCTGAGCACTGGGTACAGAGGACGCACCTCTGCATCCTCGGTAAGAATGTGTGTGTCCTGTGTGGCGCAGGGTGCAGGGATGGGAACACCCATCAGGCCAGCAGCAACACTTCTTGTCGCACTGGTGGTCAGAAAAAGTCAACAACCTAGTTGTGCTGGCACATGTAGGCCCAAATAAATAAATCTTTATTTGTAAAAGATACTGGGTTGAGTCCAGAAAGAGAATAGAAACAGTATAAAAATATGGAGAAGGTCATGTCAAGCATACAAAATTGGATGAATACAGGCAAAAAAAGAATGGGCTCTCAAGACAGACTCGTATTTGTGGCCACATTTGAATGCCAGGGAATACTCAGAAGTGTTGATTAAAAATTAGCGTGGGGTCAAAAAGCCAAGGGCAGGTAAGCCTAGCTAAGTAGCATAACTCATGTCTGCAGGGAATGATTCACCACTGAATGACTTCAGAAAGCAGGGAAAACAGAATACTTGTATTGTAGTGAGACCAATCAGGTGGCCACATCAAACAGGGATGGAGAGGGTTGTCCCTGCCAGGAGACAGGGACACAGTTCTGGACAGTAATCCAAATAAGACATTTATACGGGCCTGGTTCAAGAATGGCGGGTTTAGGCATAAAATTGTTATCAGCAATTAAAATCTAGCATCTAAAAAGTAGTGCTTAACTCCCCCTTATTTTTAATAATATCCAGATAATTTCATATCAGAAAAGCAGAATTGTCTAATGTGTTTATTTGTTCACCTATGTATTTTTAGATGTCATGAAATTTGTTGCTGATTGTGCCAAGGTCTCTGCTGAGAAACAACTTCAGCTTTCTCCAAGACCGCTGGAAGTCACAAGAACAATCAGGGTGGAAAACCTGCCACCTGGTGTTGATGTCTGTGAATTAAAACTTGTATTTGAAAACCCTGATAATGGAGGAGGAAGCGTTACCAAAGTTGAATATTCTCCTGAAGAGAGTTCTGCTCTGATTGAATTTTTGGACAGAAAAGGTAAATATGTTGTAGTCTGATTTTATAATCTTTATCTGGCATAACCTAAACTATTTTAACAGATAATAATAGTTACCAGTTGATGTACAATTTATTTTAATTCATTTATTTCATTGAAAATCCAATTTATGGCCCTCCCTGGTGGCGCAGCGGGTTAAAGCACAACACTAAGAATCTAAAGCTGCTTCCGCATGAGTTTGATTCCCACCTGCCCTGGAGGTGACCACATGGCGTGGCAGACCTCTCCTGACCCGCCCGCTGCTCCCCTCAGCAGTGCACTTCGTCAATCTGCCTGTTCTGTTCCCCTCTCTGTCTCTGGTGAAGCCTCTCACCGCCCCTGAGCCTCTGGCCTATACCCCAGTTCTGTATGCACAAATAAATAAATAAAATCTTTTTAAAAAAAAGAAAGAAAATCCAATTTATAATCTTGTTTATCAAGAATATGTACTTTACCTGTGATGTCCATTGATTTAAACTTTAGAGAATCAATGTTAAGTTTTGGAAGATAAAAAGAATTCCTGAGTCTCAGTTTATGACAGACCAAAAAATTATATCTGGTCCCTTTGCTCCTGATGTGCACTCTCATATGGAAGCCTTAACTCTACAGATTTCTAGATTTCATTTAGATTTTTTTCTTTATATCACACAATGAGAAAAAAAATCTAGTATTTGTCTTTGACCTACTAACTTATTTCACTTATCATAATAGCCTTAGTTCCATCCATGTAGTCACAAAAGGCAGGAGTCAGCTTGTTAATAGCTGAGTAGTATTCAAAAATGGCCTTCATTTTAATACACTGGTCTGTCTTTGGGGACTTAGATTGTTTCCATAGTTTGATTATAAACAGTGCTGCAATGGACACATGAGTGTACATATCCCTCTGAATTAGTGTTTTATATCCTTGGGTAGACATCTGGAAGTGGAATTGGTGGTCATATGATGAATCAAAATTTTTTTTTTTTTTTTAGTATTTATTGATTTAGAAATACAGAACTGAGGTACAAGATAGAGGTGCAGGGGCAGTGAGAGGATTCACCAGAGACAGAGTGGGGAGCAGAACAGGCAGATCAACAAAGTACATTGCTAAGGGCAGCAGGGGAGAGACAAGAGAGGTCTGCTGCACCATGTGGGTCACCTCCCTGGTTGGGGATCAAACTCCTGCTGCAGTGGCTGGAGCCAGCTTCCTAATGTTGTGCTATAAGCAGTTGCACCACTAGGGAGGGCCCTGAATGTATTTTTAATATTTTGAGAAAACTTCTTATTGCTGACCATTCTACATTCCCACCAACAGTTTGTATAGATTCCACCTGAGCCCCCCCCCAACCCCCCTGCCCATCCCCAGCATATCCTCATCAACACTTGTTGATGCTGGTCATTTTGACATAGGTCATTCTCACAAGGGTGAGTGGTATCTCATTGAGTTTATATTTGTACTTCTATGATGAAGGCAATGATAGCATATTTTTACATGTCTGTTAGTAATCTGTAGTCTTCATTAGAGAAGCGTCATTTTATCTCTTCTCCCATTTTTTGATTGGGTCATTTGTATTTTCTTTATGGTGGGTTGTGTGAATTATTTGTAAATCTTGGATATTAGCTCCTTGTCAGATGTATGGTGTACAAATATTTCCTCTCATTCAGTGGGGTGTCTTTTCATTTTAAGAATAGTTTGTTTTTTTTTTTTTGCCATGCAGTGGCTTTTTATTTGATGTTACTTTAGTATCTGTTTCTATTTTGTTTCCCTTACTGTGTAGTTTAGTACCCAGGGACATCACTGAAGCCAATATCGTGGCGTGTTTAGCCTATGTTTTCATCTCTGTACTTCATAGTTTGAGGTCTTATGTTTATACGTTGAGTCCACTTTGACTTAGTTTTAGTTTGCAGAGATGTCACTTGTGGATTGTGTTGATAGAAACTTTTGGATGTCAAGGGTTGTTGTGAGAACTCAATGACTTAAATATATGTTAAACACTTAGAAAACTGACATTATTCCATGATGATTATTCGCTGTAATAAAGATAATCAGAAATAATTATAATATTATTTATTATTGCTACACCCCTCCGCTTAGAGGTATTAAGGGAATTTAAGTCATGTATGAAATTAAATTGTAAGACTGTACAGGAGAATAAAATACCATGATTTTGACAAGAGCTTCATGTTGAACACCGACGTTTTCCTTACACTGAATAGAAATTACCGCAGGCATATGACAAAACTGATGTCTATTACTGAACATGACAAAGATAAGTCAGAGAAATACAAATAGAATTTGAATGAAGAGTGAGAGAAACTGAAATTATTAACTAAACAAAGAATACCTGTGAAGTCCTTGAAGTCTTTGTATGGGGTCATTTATATATGAAGCTAGTGTGGTTTTTAATAATGTAACATCAAAGTCCATAACCATTAAGATTTATTATCCTAGAGTAGGAAAGAGTTCCTTTTTATGCTTGCAACATGACAACGAAATACTTAGTTTTATTTCTTTCCTTTAAGTGGTCGACACCATCATGACCAAGCAACTTCAGCTCAATAAAATGCCACTCTCTGTGCTCCCATACTACCAATCCTTGGGCACAGCCTTGCATGGAAAGGAGAAGCCTCTGAGCAAGCATCCAGCACCCTTCAGAGAATCCTTGGACATTCCCTTGTGGAAGTTCTTGAACAAAAAGAACCACCTGATCGAGGAGATAAATGATGAAATGAGACGCTGCCACTGTGAGCTCACATGGTCTGAACTCAATGGGGAAGTTACCATCAGACCCGCACCCTCCTTGATCCATCAAGGAAGACAGAGTATCAAGAGCTGGCAGAAAAATGCTTCCTCAACCTTTACTTGCATCAGGTCTAAATATAAAGTCTCCTCACTTAAAGTGCATCCCATCGTGTGGGACACCATAAAAAGTGACTTAGAAGACAACAAGGTGCTGGTTGAGTTTGATACACTGCTGGAGATGGTCACTTTGGTGGGGAGATCAGAGGATGTACAAAAGATGGAGGCACAACTCATAGAATTAATAGATGGAACCACTCAAAGAATTAAAAGGGAACAGCAAAGTCTGAAGGAAAAAGTGTCCCTTTCTCCAGGGAGATTTTCACTCTTGTGCCACAGTGGTGCATTGGAACATTTCCGCTCACAAGACCCAAAGGTGGAGATTCTCTATGACAAAGCCTCTCAACACATGGTTATCAAAGGGCTTCCTGCAGCTGTGTATAAGATGAAGTGTGAAGTCCTGGAAAAGGTGCATGCCATGGCTCAGAAACACATTGAGGTTCACCCTGAGATTTTCCAGTTTTTACAACAGGTAGACTCTGCAGAATTCTCAAAGTCTCTTTTTATAGCACAGAAAATTCTTGCTACTTATGAGTTAAATGGTCCCAGTGTTCTCTTAAACAGTTGTTCTTGTGAAGTCCTATTAGAGGCTAAAAATCATATCACTAGAGCCTTAACTTATCAGCGCATAGATGTTGAGAACAAAGATGTTTTCAATGACAGGAAATGGAAAGAACTCACTAGCAGATTGGATAAGCAACATAATTCCTCCTCAAAAACTGTCATAATCAATGAGTTAACATCAGATGCCAACTCTGAGGTCATCGTGGCCGGCTGTGTGAGAGAAGTAAATGAAATCCATTATTCACTTTTCAACTTTCTGGACAAAAAAATGATCATAAAGCGGATAATTGAAATCAAATCTTCCTTAATTATTGACTACTTACGGATAAAAAAGAAGTCATTCTGGCAAAACATAAGGAAACAAAAAGTGCAGGTAGATTTCAATCTAGAAAAAAATGAAAAAGGTCCAAAAGGAATTTTACTAATGGGTCCAAAGATAGAAGTCCTGAAGGGAATAAACATCATCTTGCAAGCCTGGGGTTCTCTCTGTGTTAAAAGTACCTGCATTGATCAACCAGGAGCCAGACAGATATTCCGGGAGAAAGAACGGTTTTATACTACTGAAGCTGAAAGGCTGTTTGGTTGTTTTCTTAACCTACTGGAAAATGAAGGAAAGGAGGGAGGGGGTACAGATGGGAAGAAATGCTTCTGTCAGGTGAAATTGGCTCCTGGAGTGTCCCTGGTTGTGCAGCAGGGCGACCTGGCAGGGTTTCCTGTGGAAGTGGTGGTAAATACAGCCAATGAAGAGCTCAAGCTCAGTGGAGGCCTTGCTGCCGCTCTCTTAAAAGCAGGGGGCCCTGAGCTCCAAGCCGACTGTGACCAGATAGTGAAGAGAACTGGCAAGATCCTACCTGGCCGAGCCACCATCTCCAAGCCAGGCAAGCTCCCATACAGACACGTGATCCACACAGTCGGGCCCCGGTGGAGTGCACAGGAGGCCCAGAGGTGTGTATCTGAGTTGAAGAGCGCTGTGGAAGAATGTCTTCGTTTGGCTGAAGAACACAATTGTCAGTCCATTGCCATCCCTGCTATTAGTTCTGAAATCTTTGGCTTTCCCTTACCTCGGTATGTGGAGACCATCGTTTTGGCTGTCAAGGGGTATTTCCAACACAAGTCAGATGGATGCGCCTTGAAGGAAATCTACCTGGTGGACACAGCTGAGACAACTGTGGAGGCCTTTGCCAGTGCTGTGAGAGCTCTGTTTAAAGACACCCGACCTGAAGCTGATGCCGCTTCCCTGCCCAGTGTGCCAGCAGCTGAACAGCCCGACTTGAGACAAGATCATGGGAACGGACAAGTTCTTTTGTCTCCAGAAGGCCTGAGGGTCCTGTTGGTGAAAGGAGAAGTGCAGAGTGCTGTGGTGAGTGACCCAATTCACACTCCCCCAGATTGTACCATCCCAGTTAGTCCAGTCTGAAAGAAAGATGGGCTCAAGGAGAGAATCCATGCCCAGCCCAAGTCCCAACTCAAAACAAGGTTCTTAGAACTTTGCTGCTTGACTAAGATATTTCCGACAAGCCTGGCCAGTCATCTGTGGGAACTGAATATGTATTCAGGTCACTAGATGTCTAGTCTGTGTGAAATACACCATAACACCTCATATGTATAAGCCTTCTGAACTAGCTCAATGACTCTACACTTACTTGACACAACTAAGGATAATTCTGGTTAAGTTGGCAGATAATGGATAAGAAAATTTAGAACATGTGTTTTGAACAGCTGTGGATCTGAGATTGGGGATTCTCAGCACAAACCTGAGGAAGGAAACGTGATGAGGATAGAGGAAAGGAAATTGGGAAATGGTCAGGGTATGATGAAGGAACAATTCTGTTAGTTGATGAAGGGGAGACACGTTTTAAAGCAGGCCTGCCCATCTGTGACAGAGCACAGCCTATGTCCTCTTCCCGAGTGTCATCCTGTAGCTTTCCCTGTGGCAACCCTTCTCAGGCCTTGAAGGGCCTTCCTCTTTGAACTCCTCCAACGGTCCAACACTATTTTTCTATTGCTTTCTGACAATTCTCTATTGTCCTGGAGTTCCTTAAATGAAAAAGTATCTAGGAACACAGTGTATAAGGGGGGCTTCAGTCTCAGAAAAGTGTTAATGTCCCCCCCACCACCAGCCCAGGGGGTCAAATATAGTAAAGCTTGATGAATGATTTCTAGTAGTGTTTGAAAAAAAATTGTTGGTTTTGTCTTTAAGGTTGATGTTGTTGTCAACTCCGTTCCCCCGGATCTTGCACTAGATAGAGGAACCCTTTCTAAAGCCCTCTTGGGAACAGCTGGACCAAAACTCCAGGAGGAACTGAACACAGCTGGACAAGCGGTGGCCGTGGGCGTGGGCACGGTTCTCCTCACCAGTGGCTGCAACCTGCAGTGCCAGCATGTGCTTCACGTGGTGGCTCCCATTTGGACAAATGACAGCATATGTGCATACAAGGTGGGGCCTGGTTGCACATCCCCAGGAAACTGGGAGTCCTTTCTATCTTCTTCTGTATAATGGAGATTGAACAGAACCCTGTGTCTCTCTCTACAGCCATGTCACACTCGCGGCAGGTTCCGCCATCATGGCCGCCTCTCGTGGCGGTATCTGACTTCCTCTGAGGACTGGTAGCAGCGTAAACTGGCACAGTGCTCAACCAGTGTTGAGTCAGGGGAGAGTCAGCAGAGATATATCCTACCTTTAGTGAGGCCACAAGTCGAGGGCATGAAAAGCTGAAGAGAAGGAAATTAGAACAGTGGTTGCTGTGGGTCTTCCCGTCAATCCTGACTGAGCTTGAGTTTGGGACGGGCTCTCAGTGCTCCGCCTCTAGTCTGTACTTGTCTTTCACCTTCTGGCTACTCTTAACTTCTCCTGAAAATGAAAGAATAGACATCACAATGAGGTTTATCTTTGTCTTTTACTTTCCTAACTCCCATTCCGTAAAGATATGTTTTGTTCTTTTCAGAGCATGGAAGACCTAATCAGGACATGTTTGGAGATCACTGAGAGCCTGTCTGTAAAATCCATTGCATTTCCAGCCATAGGAACAGGAAATTTAGGCTTTCCTAAACCTGTTTTTGCCAGACTAATCATGTCAGAAGTGTTCAAGTTCAGTAGCAAAAGTCAAGCTACCACCTTACAGGAGGTTCAGTTTCTGCTGCACCCAGAGGATCATGAAACTATCCAGGTACAGTCTTTCATTTCTGCTCTTTTGGCATCTCAGCCCTATGTTTTCTGGGGCATTTCTTCACCTACTTCCGTTACAAGAAAGCAAAGGAGTAGTGTAGAGTAATGGTAGCCTGGCAAACCTCAAGCAGATTTATATTTGTAGCAATCAAATTAAATTCTTATTCAGGTAATTTGAACCTATATATAAGTTGCCAAAATCCTTTGTGTTCACCATTAATCTTCCCAACTACCAACATATGCCACTGTGTTTCAACTCTATCTCCATTTATTTCCCATCCCTCCAAAAATTCTCTTTTGAAGCAACTCACCGACATGCATTTAACCCTAGAGGGTTTGTTGAAATGTTCTAATTTGCAGATTTCTTATAAATGTTTTATTTATCTGACAGCTTGTTTGTTTGATCATAACTCAAATTACACCCATATATTGCATATCCTTTGGGATATGGGATTCCCTTCAATATGACCACAGAAATTTTAATCCATAATAAAGATAAATGTGCAACTGCAGTGCTGTAAATAGGAAATTTTAGGATGAGATATGATTCAAGGTTGTATTTAGAATCAGCTAGCACCTCCTCACTGGAGTAAGATTGTCAGGACAATGAAGGTCAGAACCACCTTTCGCTTTAGAAATCAGTGAACCAGCTTATACTTGCTGACTATGGGGAGAGGCCAAGCCACACTGAGTAGACACCATTTTCCCGGACCTGTAGGTCTCAGAGTCCAGTAGAGTAGATGACATCAAATATTTGAAAGTTATATGATAGGGCAAAATTAATTATACAATTAAAAGCCATCAACCCAGGGCTCTCCATGGTGGTGCAATGGGTTAAAGCACAGCACTACGAAGCTGGCTGCAGCCACTTACATGAGTTAGATCCCTGGCCAAGGAGGTGACTTACATGGGACTGCAGACCTCTCCTGACCTGCCTGCTGCTCCCCTCAGCAGTGTACTTCATCAACTGCCTATTATGTTCCCCATTCTATCTCTGCTGAATCCTCTCACTGCCCTTGCATCTCTGGTCGGTACCCCTGTTCAATATGCATAAGTAAATAAATATTTTTTAAAAAGCCATCAACCCAAAGATGTCCATGGAGTATTGGATCTTGTGAATTATTGTGTTTACTTAACTTTTTCCTGAATCTACACAGTACCTTTAAGTATTTCGAGGCAAGCAAATGTAACTTAAATTCCAATCAAGTGGCCAAACCACCCAAGCAAAGCATTGCACTTAGTTGGTCAGCCCACGTGGTAAATCCCGGTCAATAGTGGATTTTTCAACACTTTATTGTGGCTTGCATTTTACAAGGTAATGTGGATCATAGAATGGGTATATAACACATACTGTCCCTGCTATAAATCATAATTACTTTAGCATCTTAGACTTATACATGCAAAACAAAATAAACTAAGGCCACAAATTGCTGATCGTTTTTAGATGCATGGTGGAGGAATCAGGGTACAGTCCCAGGAAAATTACCTGAACCTTCAAATCTCCATTTTCTGTGCAACCCCCACCTTTAGTTTCTTTCCTAAGAACTCTGATACTCTGTGCATCTTCTCTGAAATGAGTAATATATAAAGACTTGGAATGCCATTGAAATAGTATTGATTCTCCACACAGAATTGTGACACTAGCTCTCTTAAAATCTTTAAAGATGGAAAAACTGAATATATTTCCATGGAATCAGCAATGTGATTGAGATGGTTCTAGGCAGATGGTTTTACAACCTTTTACAGAGGTTGTAAAACAGCTGTGCTGCTGGAAGCATCTACATATGCTTTATTTAGGCTAATTTTTCCAGAATGTGCATATATTAAAATTCATTTAATCTTTTCCTTGTTGTAATTTAAAAGTTTTACTTTTTCTCTTTATATTGAGCACTGCGATGAATATCCTTGTATATAAATATATATCTTCACTCACGTCTTTATAACTTTCATAAGATGTATCCATGAAAATAGTATAGCAACACATATTTCATAATTTTGAAATCTGTAACAAAATAAATAATCCTTTGGGATTGAGCTGTCCTCAGTGTGCATGCTTGCAGAGCCAAACTGTGTGTCACAGTCACTCATCTGCTGAGGAGCGTAGACCGTAGTGATCAGAGCTCTCTTTGTGTTTCTAGGCATTTTCAGATGAATTCTCTGGAAGGGCTAATGGAAATTTGGACCATGATGCCATTCTGAAGACAGAAGATACACAAGGTTCAGTAAAACTTTGCATGAAACATTAGGCAATGACGTCTCTGATCTTGCCCGCTGCCCATCAGGAGCCTCTTTCATAACTGGGCCTTTTCTGCTCTTCGTGCAAAAGAGGCTGGGCTGTGGCTGCGTGTGCTGAGTAGTATTGTGCTTACCCCGTTACACCTCCAGGGAGGGCCACTTCTTCAACTGTTTTTGTTTGCTCTGGTCTTCCCCTTCTTTGGGTTCAAAATAACATGAAGTTGAAGCTTTTGATAGCTTCCCACATTGGCTCAATCTTTTCTTTCCAAATTTTTTATCTGTATCAAATTCAACTTTTTTTATTGATCAGAATCATGTTTACTGACTGTCAATTCCCTGTTGTTTATCTGATGAATATTTTCATTTCAGGTAGTATTTTTAATTTTGAAAATGTCCATTTCATCTCACGATATAATTTATATTTCTTTGGAGAGACTCTTGTTTTTCCATTCATTCCAAATCATTTCACTTTTCAGATGTGTTATCTTGAGCTCGGCCACATAGTTACACAAGGTGCTGTAAAGTCTTCGTCTCAGGCACAACTTCTGGGTCACCTTGAGATGAGCATCTATTGACTATCTTTATCATTGATTTGTATATTATCTTTTTGGATTATAGGACGAACACTTTCAATATTATTTTATGTGACCTGGTCTTCTTAAAAGCTGTGGAAATAGTGAATTTTTGTGTGTTTGCTTCAGCAGGCTGTCAGCTCCCCCTCACCTCCTGTGTGAGCAGCAGCTCCCCTGTCTGTTCAGTGCTGCCAGCATCTGCCCTGCAGCTTGGCACTCACCCACCTGTGCCGTTGTGGGGTGAATTCAGGATTTCCTCAGTACTCACCCTGAATAGGGGTCCCTGCTGCCAGTTCACATGTATCAAGGTCTCCTGTGTATGCTCTTACTTGAAGTAACGCATTTTCTTTCTAAGTCATCTGGTCAGAGACAGGGTTCCCGCTGAGTTGAAGTTGACATGTCCGTTTCATGGTCAAATTCCTTGGGGGGAAATGGAGAGAGAAATGAGAAAAAGGGGGAAATTAACAGAGTAGAAAAAAAAGAAGTGTTAGAGAGCAAAGATCTAAATAAATGAGTAAATATCAGAAACCTCCATATGCTGAAAAGGTCAAAGAGGTATTTTTCTTGATCCTCTGGATAGAAATAAGAATGTTCTGACCATTTTTACTCTCTCTGTCATAACAAGTTCTACAACTGGGATCTCCTTGGGAGAGAGTCTTGATTAAAAAGAAAAAGGTATGGGAAATAATGAGAAGTTACTGTCTTGCCCTACAAATCCCAGGATCTCTTCTCAGTCCTCAAGCCTCCGACCAGATTTTCTGAGTGTTTTTGCGGTCTCTGCCCATGTGTGACTCTCAATAGGGTCATGCTGGGCCAAACCCAGCGAGAAAAATGGAAAATGTCAAAACAATATCGAACTCCTCCCTTCCCCTCCCCCACTAAAGGTTGCTACTTCAAGTTTGGACTCTGTCCTGAGTCTACCTGCTGGTGTACTCTCCTCAGTTACCAACTTATGCCTTTTTTATCCCTCACACATTTTCATTTGTAATCAGTGGGAGAAACCTGCTCGAGTGGGCTAGCTTCCCCTTGACCAGTGTCTGACTCTACATCTAATACGTATTGCATTTCATAATCTGTTTTCTAAAATGGGCCATCACTTTGCACAGGGTCTGGGCCAGATTAAAGTCAGAGCTCACAGACAGGGAAGCAGCATGGGGTGCATGTGTAGAGCAGAGACCAGCACTGTTCTTGCTGTTGGCAGCCTGGCTTCTGATTCCATCTTCTTCTCTTCTCAGGTGTCTATGGGTCTGTGTCCAGCCCTCAGCAGGGAGTGCACATGATGAAGATCGGTCCCATCACGTTCGAGGTGGCCACAGGAGATATCACCAAGGAAGAGGCAGATGTGATTGTCAATTCAACATCAAACACATTTGATCACAAAGCAGGTACTGTACCTGTTGGGTTTGAGTGGTGTAATCGTCACAGAGAATTCCATGTAGGAAATTTCCTCCAGCCAAACTGTTCTACAGTTCCTATAGCTGAGGTGATTTCTACAACTGTGTTTATTAATATTAATTAATAATTTAAAAAGTATTTAGACATTTCTTATATTGATAACAGTTATTTTATGCATTATTGTTCTTTGTTATCACAACTGCCCAGGCTTTATTATCTCACTGGTGATGGGAAAGCTTAGACAGTAAGGAGGAATGCACAACACCAATTGAAAGGGCACAGACACTGCTCTGTTCATTGCAGCGTATTTACAATAACTAAGTTTTGGAAACAGCTTAGAGCCCAAAGATGGATGAGTAGATTATGAAGATGCACACACATTGGAATACTATTCAGCTATAAAATACACTTGCTATTTGAGACAGCATGGTGGATCTGGAGGGCATTAATTTAAGCAAAAAATGTCAGAGAGATAAAGTAATCATGAGATCATATCATTTATATGGGGAACATACAAAAAACAAAAGATCAGAAATAAAAACAAAGCAATTATAGACCCCAGAAACCTGACTATAGAATCAAGGTTGTCAGAGGAATAGGGGACTTAAAACACAGTGGGGAGTGGTAGAGTGGTTGATGGTGGAGGACTTCTTGTGGTGGACACAAGAAGTGTATGACCTTATGCCTCGGAATCACAGTGTTCTATCCCCATTTAAAAAGAAGAAAAAGAAAAAATGAGCAGTCATTCTGATCTAAACTTAACCTTCTGATTTTTTGGTCTCATTTATACCATCTACATTTTTTCATACAGGAGTCTCCAAAGCAATTTTAAAAGGTGCTGGAAAAGATGTAAAAACCCAGTGTCAACTTCAAGGTAAATGATATTTTCTGGTCCTAATATGTGAAATGGCTAAACTGAGTAGAAGAGGCTATGCAGAGACCTGGGAAAGACTTGGGATTGAAAAGAAACATATTGTTCTTAAAAAAAAGAAACATTGATCTTAAAAATTCCTTTTCCAAGAATTTTAACTGTGAGAATTAAAAGTGAAAGTAATCTCATAGTTAAAAAGAGGAGGGAATGCAAAAAATCCATCAAAGATAGTAATTCAGGAGTCTTTAGCTGCATAAAATACTTTGTCAAGCAAGACATGTTGCTTTCTAAATAATCAGAGATCATCTTCAGCATCTTATTTTCAAGTTTTTATTGTTTTCCAGGTAAACAGGGCAATAGCGGTTACATAATCACAGAAGGCGGTTTATTAAAGTGCAAGAATATTATTCATGTCATTGGTAGAAATGATGTCAAGAACTCTGTTACCTGTGTTTTGCAAGAGAGTGAAAACCGGAATTACTCGTCCATTTGCCTCCCGGCCATTGGGACAGGTGAGTAGTCTGGCTGTCAAGGCAAAATCCCAAGTCATCCTCTCCCTTATTCGGAATGTGTTCAAATTTCAGTTTGATAAGAATCTTTACCTCACCCTAGAGAATCACAACAACTGTCCCGCTTCCTCCATGGAGTTTCTTATTTTCCTCAAACTATACATGAGTGAGTGATTTTTTATGAAGAAGACAGTCCTTTGGCTTTATCATTACTAAGGTGATAAAGTGAGGAAACTCCTTGAAATCTTTCCCCAAGAATCTCAGTCAGGTGCCTTGATGAGGAGTTCCTGCTTGGCCTCCCTTAAGAGCAGGTCAGGAGAGGCAAATACTCTTGGGCCTGAAGTAAATGGAGTCACTGGTTCGTAGAGAACATTCAGCATTGGACTGATCGTTCTGTTGTTCAGGAAACTGAGTTTGAGTGTCTCACTCTGGCATTCTAGGCTCTCCAGAAATTTAGCCTCAGTAGACTCAAACATCCACGTCACTTTCTGGGCCCTTCTAATTCTCTGTCCCTCACTTTGATTTATTTTATTCTCTACCTTTTCGCTTATGTTCCCATATGAATTGCTGTATCTACCTCATTACCTTCCATATGTGAGGTTATAATTTATAGCAACTTAAGTTTTCATTCTCCTCATAGTAGACTTCCTTTTAGCAGATTAGCCAACTTTTCATCCTTGTGTCAACCATCATGGTTAATTTTTTGAATACTCAATAATAACTCATGAGCAATAACTCCTTCTTATTCTGCTGGCATTTGTTTGGTATAAATTTTGTTCCTGCATTGTTCCCTTCATTTTATTTTAGTCAAGAAAGCAGGAGCTCCCAGTGGAGTCAAGGCAAAAACAAGAACATGAGGCACTTTCAGTTCTGTATGAATGAGTACGCACCTGCCTGTTTCTGGACTCCTACAAACCTGTCACTTATCTTCCATGCTGGCTGAGTTGCTGGGCTGCACAGACTCATGGAGCTCAGCATAGTCTCATCAACTGCCCTTTTACTCTGTCTCTCCCTGAGCTGGTCCTCAGACTCCCTTTGTGGAGTTTCTGAGTTGAATTGGGACTTTGATCAGACAGCTTCTGGTACTATAATAAGCCCTTTGCCTGTCCTTAAGACACCTTCCTCCGTAGAGAGAATGGAAGGTCAGAAAATCTAAGGGCCTCCAGCCTCAGACCAACTGCAAACTCCAGTTCATCTCCTCTTCCCTGTAATCTGCCCTTCTTCTGTAATTCTGGATTGTGTACCAAGCACTGCTCTAGCATTTGACTCCCGTCTCCCTGTACTCCTATGTTCAGTAGTTTCTGAGTTAGCTTGGTGAAATGTTTCCTGCATGCCAGCCCTGTGCTTAGACAGCTGGGATAGAAAGATGAGTCAGGAAAGGGTCTGGCCCACCTGGACATGTCACCTACTGTGAGAGACAGGTACTCATGCAGCACAGCATGGCCCGTGTGCACTGAGTGTGCAGGTGTTGAAGGGGACCGTGGGTCGAGGATAAACCCAGTTGATCACCAGGTCCCGTGGACTTACAGCCTACATATGCCCTCCCTGCACCCAACCATTCATTCTGACCTCTTCCCTTTGTTTAGCTCTTGTCTTAGCCTAAACTGTTATTTTACTCTCCAAACTAGATCTGGCCCTCACTTTTAGGATTTCCTTCACTTATCTCTTTCTCAAAAGCAGCTCTGTTGCCTTAATATACTGGTGGACATACCACACCTGTGCCATACTTCTCTCTGGCATCCCCTTTTCCTTGAAGTCTCTTCCCTCTCTTACTCATATCCAATGTGTCCTGAGATTCTTGCACAGTATCAGCCTATGATAGGACACAGTCAGTGTTTATTGATCGTGTCTGACACTCCCACTTAAATTCTTCCACATATCAGGCGGTTAATTAGTAATTTCCCCCTTCCCTGATCATGAGGGTTGTCTACAATCCCACAGTTATTAACATAGGCAAATCAAAGAGGTCCAGCCTCATTCTCTTTAATAGTGGGGGCACCATAAATAAGGGTAATTGAAGCAGTCCCTGGCCTATCACACCATGTTGGTTAGGGTTCTTCACATTGCCTCCTGCCCCAGCTGAATTAGCCAGCTGCAGTTCACATGGCACTTCTGTGCGTTGCCATGAGTTAGCTGACTGGGTGTGAGAAACCAGCCGTAGAGCATGCTGAGATAGGAACTGACCTCAGGTGGCAACTTGATCCTTCCTGTTGGCTAAAACTCATTGTGTGCGGAGATCCATTAAAATCTCATTCCTGGGGTTTCATTAATACCTTGTATGCAAAGAGTTATGGATTATTCACAAGTTACTTATAGCTTCTGTGTCTTCCAAACTCTCAGCTAACGAAAGCCCACAAAAACAGCAGAGAGAATGAGGATACATGTATAAAATTAAGGGATGACTGACCACAATAATGATTTTTTCCCTTTAATGATCATGTTGTTGCAATATAAATTAGCATATTTGTTGATTTTGAGTATACTAGTAATAAAAAGGATTAACTGTGCTCTGTAATTCAAAGAAATAAACTGACCTGGCATCAGTGGAATAGAGCAGGTACATTAATGTCTTTACATTAGACACCCAAGTTACTTTTCTGAGTCCTTTGATCATTGTGGGGTCATTTGTATCCAGACATCCTGGACATCGTTCCCCATGGCAAGAAGGCTATCAAGTGTTTCCTACGAAGTGTTGAAAAGTTCATGTTAAAATTTTTAGAAAGTGTGCATTTATTATGTGATTATTTGAATCTTTGATTTTTTTAAGGCTTTCTTATCCAATCAGTTCTATTATTTTCCTTGCCAGGAATTGCTTGTCAAGACCCAGATAAGGTTGCTGTAGCCATTATAGATGCCATTGAAGGTTTTGTCCAGAAAGGTTCTGTCCAGTCTGTGAAAAAAGTTAAAGTCGTTCTCTTTTTTCCACAATTGCTAAATGTGTTTTATGCCAACATGAAAAGAAGAGAAGGATCTCAGTCTCTCCTACAACAGTCTAAAGATGCAGGTGAGTTATTCATTTTTACCAAATGTTTGATTCTGATACTCTTACCACATGACAGTTCATCTTTCCAAACTATCAGAAACAGCAATTAAGAGGACAGCCTCATTAAAAATTGCATAAAACCAAAATTTTGCCAAGAAATAATTTAATCAAGGAGGTATTAATGAGTGATGAATGAAAGTGAAGATAATACATATAAGTGGAGGGTATTTAGAGTACAGATTGGATATATCACTGTTGCTAAAATAGTCATACTCCTTAACACTAACTACAGAGTCAATGCAAACTCTTCAAAATTCTCTTTTATTTGCCAAAGAAATAAAGCAAACAACTCTAAAATTTGTTTACAACCCTAACAATCACCCAAAAAGCCGAAATGACCTTGAAAAGAAGAACAAAACTAGAGTAACCACACTTTCTGACTGCAACTGTATTTCAAACTAATAGTAATCAAAACAGTACGATGTTGGCACAAAATCAGACATTCAAATCAATGGAACATAGTGAGAGTCCAGAAAAAACCCATGCAACTATTGATAATCAATACATAGAACTAAGAAGACAATACTATACTTTGGGGGGAAAATTATGTCTTTACTTCATGGTATTTGAAAATTGAACAGCCACATACTAAGAGGTAAAAGCGGACTCTTATTTTATACCATACAAAAAATATATTCAATGTTTCAAAGATTGAATGTAAGATCAGATACAATGAAACTCCCAGAGAAAAAAATAAGGGATAAGCTCCTTGACATTGGCCTTGGCAATTATTACTCTTTTTCCTACCATAATTAAAGGCAACAAAAACAAAAATAAACAAGTAGGATTACATCAAACTAAAAGGCTTATACAGAGCAAGGAACCAACAATAAAATGGGAAGGCAGCCCAAAAAATGGGGGGAAATATTTGCTAATCATATATCTGATATATATAAATATAGATAATGCATACTTACAAAATCTATAAAGGACTCATGAAACTTAATAAAAAAGAATGTGATTGAAAAAATGGGCTAAAGAGCTGAATAGACATTTTTTCCAAAGAAGACAGAGAGGGGTAGTCAACAGGCTACATGAAAAAATATTCAACCACACAGATCATTAGGGAAATACACATCAAAGCACAATGAGATGTATCTCATCTAATATGATGTCTATATCAAATATTCAGAAAAATAAGAAGTGCTGACCAGGTGTAGAAAAGAGGAAACCTTGTGCAAGGTTGATGGGAATGTAAATTGGCTAGCCACTATGGAAATCAGTAAGGACATCCCTCAGAAAAGTTTAAAGGCATGTATGACAGGACCCATTTCTGAGTATTTACTCCAAAGAAATGAGATCAATAGCTCAAGAAGATGCCTGCATCTTCACAGTAATAGCAGTGTTGTTTACAATGTCAAGATGGAGACAACTTACATGTCCATCCATGATAAATGGATAGAGAAAATTTCAGACATGTATACACACAGAGAGGAGTATTATTTAGCTATAAAAAAGAATTCCTGTCATTTGTGACATGGGTGAAACTTAAGGTCATTATGGTAATGGAAGTCAAAACAGAATGACAACTACTGTTGACCTTACCAATGATGCAACCATAGAGTAAAATACAAACTCAGAGAGAGCAGAGGCAGGGTTAGAAGGTAGGAAAAATGGATGAGGAAGGCCAGGAATGAACAGCTTCCAGGTAAATAATCAGTAAATTTTGGGATACAAAGTGTATCCTGGTCACAAAAAGTAAGTAATAACTAACCTTCCTTCTTTTCATTTTTAGCATCTCTCCAATTACTAAGTCAGTATCTCAAAAATCATAATCCTTTTTTTTTGGAAAAGAAAAGAGAGACAGTCACTTTTCAGGTGTGTGGTGAAAAAGGAGAACATGTGGAAGACAGCCTGTCCTGGATACAGGCTGAGCTTAAGAAGGAGCATTGCTCTTACACCAGTGACGATGAGTTTATCAAAGACTTTGATAAAAAGGAGGCCCAGAAATTGAATGAGCTACAGAAGAAATTAAACATTACCATATCCTTGAACCGCAAAAGACCTTTGATTGAGGTTTTGGGAATTAGCAGAGATGTGACTGAGGCTAGAGATGAAATTGAGGCAATGCTCAAGAGAGCAAGATTGGCCAAAGAACAGGAAGCCCGGGCAGACTATGTCCATGAATTTATAGAGTGGCAATACAATGACAATAACACTTACCACTGTTTTGACAAAATGACCAATCTGCAATTGGAGGATACCTGGAAAAATCACACAAAGACAACTGAAGTCGTGATTAATTATCAGACCTACACCGTGAACTTGAACACGTACACTGCTACGAATGCAAATGGACACACTGTGTTTGTTCAGCGCCTCAAGAAACCTGAAGGTGAGTCCAAGTTTTATTCTTGCTATTTATTATTTTAGACCTCCTTTGGACATATTACTGTTTTATATTTACATCAAAATTGTTTCAAGTAGGTAAAGTTCAATCAACCCATAGCGGATAAAATAGGAACCTTGGTCTTGACTCCTGCAGTTAAAGTGAGAATATGTCCTGGGTATGGAAGAATGTCCATGTACATGTAATAGTAGCCAAGCCTTGATCTAGTTCCATGCTATAGAGTACAGATTTCCCAGAGCCAGTTCTGCTTGGGAAGAAAGGTCTGCTTTAGTCACAAGATGGGAAAGGCAGTGTTTAAGGGGAAAAGGGTAGGTTTTCTAGAACACAGAGGGGAAGACAGCCTGGTTAGGATGAAGAGCAGGAAAGACCTGGGAGCCTGAATCTTCCAAGTCACTACCTCCTCCTAGCTGAACATAAGGATTCTTAAAGCACTGGGAATTGAATTAGATTCTCTGACTACATCTGCTTCCTGAGAAGCAGTTGCTTCTCTCTTGTTTGCAGCCAATCCTGCATTTCAACCATGGAAAAGCCACACAGAAAACTAGTAAACTGCCTTCAGTAAATATCTTACCCTCTTGGGAGATCAATGTGAACAAATTCCTGAGACTCCCCACAGCCCTGGGGAAATGACAAGTCAGGTGTGGCATTTTGCCATATAAGTTTCTTATAAATGCTGTGTAAGTGCCATATAAATGTGCTGACTATACCACTGTAGCTCCTGGTGTGGCCTTTGATTTAGAGGAAGGACACAGAGCTGTTAGCACACCTACCACAAATATAATCTGCATCCCCCTAACTTGTAAGGACGCTGTGTGTAAAGAATCAGACAGATGTGGAGGGCCCATGACCAAAGTCCACGCAATTGGAAGAAGACATAATGACTACTGGACATTATAGGGAACAATTTATTATCAGGTTGCTAAACTTACCAGCCTAAAGACTGAACAGGTTTTGCAGCTGGGTTATTCTACACTGTTTATTCTCGAAATGATCAAAATTTGTCAAGAGGTGTATCTACATGGTTTCCATGCCCGTTCCAGAAATCTTTATGCAGTGTATCTGTGAGCTTTTTATTTTTTTATTTTTATTTATTTATTTATTAAAGATTTATTTTTTTATTCATACAGAATTGGGGTACAGGCCAGAGATGTGGAGGGTGAGAGGATTCTCCAGGGACAAAGTGGGGAGCAGAACAGGAAGATCGACAAAGTACACTGCTGAGGGGACCAGCAGGCGGGTCAGGAGAGGTCTGCCACGCCATGTGGATCTCCTCTGGGGCAGGCGGGAATCGAACTCATGCGGAAGCGGATTAAGGTTCTTAGTGCAGTGCTTTAACCCGCTGCGCCACCAAGGAGGGCCCGAGCTTTTTATTTTTTAAAAAAACAATATTATGTTTGCCTGAGATATAGGTTGGCTTTGTCCACATTTTAAAAAGCAGTGTAGAAAGATAAGGAAGACTTGAACACAATGAATTAGGAGATTGTAAACAAGAACAGAGAGAGCCAGGAAGAAGAACAATTCTACCAGAAACGTGGACTGTGTAAAGGCTGTTTGTGGCATTACTCAATTGTCCACTTTGCAGTTGAAATCCCTGTGAACTGGATTGACATGAAACAGCAGGATTTCCTTGTGGTTGGTCTACAGCCTGGTGATCCAGAATATAATAATGTGGCATACAAATTTAATCAGACCTGTGCAAACTTCAGGATAGAGACGGTAAGTCTTCTTCTGATAAGAGATTTATTAATTATGGAGATAAATGATACTGTGGTTTTATATAAATACATTTTCATTCACTACCTATCATCATTTGTTTTATCCAAAATTGTGTTTTTTTTAAGATTTAAAAAAAATTAGAAAAATGTATTCATTTATCTATGTATACAAGAACTGGGGTACATGCTAGAGGTGCTGGGCAGGGTGAGAGGATCCACCAGAGACAGAGTGTGGAGCAGAACAGGCAGATGGACTGAAATACACTGCTGAGGGGAGCAGCAGGCAGGTCAGGAGAGGTCTGCTGCTGCGTCATGTGGTCACCTCCCAAGCTGGGGAGAGAACTCATATTGAAGCGGTTCTGGCGAGCTGTAATGCTGAGCTTTACTCCATTGTGCCTCCAGGTAGGGCCAAGATAAATACTTTGATACCTTCATCCATAAAAATAAACTTGTCAATAAATCCTGCATTTTGTTTCTTTGTGGATTATCTCTTACACTCTGTTTGCACTGCCACCTCACCATTTATTTATGAAGTTACACATATAATAGTGCAACAAATTATTTGAAGTATCCTATATGGGTATATATCATATCACAGATAAATAATGAACAAATGAACAAAAGGAGGAGGATAAAAATAAGACAAGTATTGTTAGTTCACATAAATACGTAACAGGAGATTCTAGGTAGTAATGAGGGCAGGACCCAAATTTGCCTGAGCTTCCCAGTAGAAAAACAGAAGGGAACACCCAACTACAACGTTGATAGTGTCCCCAAGTCACAAAACAAGTGACACAGAACTTTCACAACACTGAGACTTGCTCCTAATGGATTTCTCCTGTGAACCAAGTGTCATCAAAATCATGATAAATTCAATACAATATTTATTATCACTTTTTAAATCTTTTGTTATAATCCAGTTGAGCAATTCTCTGAAGAACTAAGATAATATGACTCTACTATGTAGCTTTGATGCCTTGCTTTTGAGGTAACAAGTAAATTTCATCAAATACCAATCATAGTCATCTGGTAGGTGTGCTGTTTGAGATGCCAGGTATAGAGCGGTGAGGACTCTCTGACCAGCAGTGTCTGGACACTTGCCATGCATTGGCCAGTGAAATGACCAAAGAATGACATCCCTTTTATAATGGAAGTCTTTTACCCAAGGATATTTTTTGTGAAATCCAGTGTGTGAGACTGATAAAGCAGAACTAGGATGTAATGAAGACATCTCTGTGAGGTCCATGGTGTTGCAAAAACACTGGCATAAAATATGGGTGATTTGGATCCTCTCTGGTGAAGCAACGAGTAAAAGCGCAGCACTATGAAGGTATCTACAGCCACTGCAGCACCAGTTTGATCCATGGCCAGGTTGGTGACCCACATGGCATGGCAGACCTCTCCTGGCATGCCTTATGCTCCCTCCAGCAGTGTATTTTACTGGATCTGCCTGTTCTGCTCCCCACTCCATCAACCCTGCAACTCTACACCTCTGTATTGTACCCCAGTTCCTGTGTGCATAAATAAATAACCCTCTCAAAGAAAAGGGTGCTTTGTCATCATCCATGGCTGTTAGAACTGCAACTAATTTTGAATATTCAAAAAATTTCCACTTTAATTCAACTCTTTCATCACATTTGTATTTCTTTCACATTCAGTGTTTGATGAAGTGTTTGAATGTACATTGTCGACATTTTGATACGTCTAAAATTTTAGCCCATGTCTTGTAAAAACAAAGTGTTATCTTTCAAATAACACTACCATTATTTCATATTACTAGTATTAATAAATACTATAGAATTCATGTCCATATTTATCCAGTGTTCAAGACACAATTCTTATGTATTGTCTTCCCCACCATTCTGGTTACAAACACATTTGGTCATTATGTCTTATCTTTTCTACAATATTCTTGCATTTTGAAAATTACTTTTTAATATATTAAGTGTTTTAAAGTGTCCCATTCTTGTTCTGTATTGCCTAGATTTTTAAAAAAGACTTATTTATGCTTACAGAACTGGGGTACAGGCCAGTGTTGTGGGGGGTGAGAGACAGTGTGGGGAGCAGAACAGGAAGACTGACAAAGTGCATTGCTGAGGGGAGGAGCAGGTGGGTCAGAAGAGGTCTGTCGAACTATATGTGTCAGCTCTCTGGCCAGGAATTGAACTTGGGCTGCAGTGGCATCTAGAGTTTCACAATGTGGTGCTTTAACCCATTGAAGCCACCAGGGAGAGCCCAAGCCTAGATTTTTTAAACCCCATCCACTCAAGCTGTTTTTTTTTTTTTTTTTTAAAAGTTTTTTTTTTTTTGCATACAGAACTGGGGTACAGGCCAGAGGCTCCGGGGCGGCGAGAGGCTTCACCAGAGACAGAGTGGGGAGCAGAACAGGTAGATCAAGGAAGTACACTGCTGAGGGGAGCAGCGGGCGGGTCAGGAGAGGTCTGCCACGCCATGTGGTCACCTCCGGGGCAGGTGGCAATTGAACTCATGCGGAAGCGGCTTTAGATTCTCAGTGCTGTGCTTTAACCCGCTGCGCCACCAGGGAGGGCCTCAATCTGTTTTTTTTATAGAGTCTAGAATTGTCTGGCTTCTTTGGAGGACGCCAGTCTCCAGCCCTGGAGGCCACATTCCATTGTCTGGTCATAGCATGGCCATGTGATCTGAAACCGCCCCCTCCCACCAGGACGCATGCCCCCTCTTACAACTGGCCAGAGATGGATTTACATCATTAATTTTGCTTCTGCCTCTTTCCTAGTGCTTCTCACTATGTTAATGCATCCGTAGGTAAGCCAGAAAGATAAAGAAAGGGGGGAGGTGGAGAGTGACACTGTGAAGCAGACAGCTGCGGGGGCAGCCAGGAGCGTGGAGGTCAGAAGCAGGAGCTGGAGACACTGGCTTCCAAGGTCATACGACAACAGTTAGACCCTAACCACTGCTCACTCTCTTGTGGTGCGAGACCAATGTTTAAAATTAAATCAGTGGTCTTCACAAGACATTTTTTGTGTGTGAAGTACTGGCTTTAATAAGGTTTCTGAACGCACAATGCTGCCACCTGACATTGATTTTTTTTTTTAAAGATTTATTTATTTGTGCATACAGAGCTGGGGTACAGGCCAGAGGCTCCGGGGCGGCGAGAGGCTTCACCAGAGACAGAGTGGGGAGCAGAACAGGTAGATCGAGGAAGTACACTGCTGAGGGGAGCAGCGGGCGGGTCAGGAGAGGTCTGCTGCGCCATGTGGTGACCTCCGGGGCAGGCAGGAATCGAACTCATGCGGAAGTGGCTTTAGATTCTCAGTGCTGGGCTTTAAACTGCTGCACCACCAGGGAGGGCCTAATTTTTTTTTATTGTAGATTTTGCTTATAAAAAACAGTACTATGTTTCATTGGCTGCATCTTGCTGCGTGCTGTTGACACTAGCAGAATGTTTATCCTGATCCATTTGCAGATTGAGAGAATCCAGAATCCAGATCTCTGGAATAGCTATCAGACAAAGAAGAAAACCATGGATGCCAAGAACAACCACATCATCAATGAGAAGCAGCTTTTCCATGGGACAGATGCCGGCTTAGTGCCCTATGTCAACCGCAATGGCTTTAACCGCAGTTATGCTGGGAAATGTGGTAAGGAGGGGCGGCTTCTGGCTGCTGCAGTGAGGGGCTGGGCATGACACCCGAAGTGGGCTGAGTTCTCCCTTGTGGTTATGTCCCTGGTGCCAAAGTTTCAGGGTCAGACAAACTAACGCAAATCAGTGATGATTGGTGTGGAAGAATGCTTTTTTTTTTTTAATTAGACACACACCCTGAACATATAATGAGGCTTTAGACAGAAGTACTGAATATTATTTGACATATTGTATCAACACAGCAATTTTAGACTAATGGAATCCTTAAAAAATGTTTTGTTGTCTCTTCACAGCTCTGGCACATGGAAAAGGAACTTATTTTGCTGTCCATGCCAATTATTCTGCCGATGATTCAAACTCCAAACCAGACAGAAATGGGAAAAAGTATATGTATTACGTCCGAGTGCTTACTGGACTTTATGCACCTGGAAATTGGACATATATTGTACCGCCGCCCAAGGATCCCCATAATCCTACTGACCTGTATGACACTGTCACAGATAACGTGTTAAATCCCTTATTGTTTGTGGTATTTTATGACTACCAGGCTTACCCGGAGTACCTTATTACTTTCAGACGATAACCTTTTAGAATCCTTTGCAGAAAGTATTACTCACTGACATCTAGCTAGATTAAAACAGGTTTCAGCTTTTTTTCTCCATTAACAGCTTTTTGAAAATTAAAGGGTGATTGTTTCTGAAATAATACTGTTTCAGACTGTATTTCATAATGGGGTGAAGCTCTCTGGAGAGAACTAACTTTGAGAATTTAAGTCAGATAATTTAGTTACAAGTTTGTGTCCAAACAGTGAACAGACAAAAGAACAGGAAGGGGAGCATACTGTTATACTACACCCTAATGTGAGCTGAACCTTCCAACCCCCCCGCCCCCGTGGTGCCTGACCGAGTGTAGCCCCAAACTCTTTATCCCGCTTTTCACTGCAAGACATACCTATGATAAAATGCAAGTTATCAGTTAAGCACCATCAGAGGTTAACAACAACAATAAAATAGTACTATTACAGCAATAACTGTAATAGAATTTATTGAATGTGGGTTCCTTTTTTCCTCTCCCAAATACCATCTTGTAGGTGACACATCGGAACTGTGGTTACCCATGGGTAACTGAACCCATAGAAAGCAAACTACCTGTCAGAGGGAGAACTGTTTTCTTCATGTCAGGTGGTAAAGCAACGTCTGCAGCTGCTGCCGAGACACAGCTGGCGTCAGGTCACTGCCGCTGGCGACTGAGTTAGGAATAGGAGCTGCTACTTCCTCGCGCCGGGATTTATGATTGGCTCTTACACATGGCACATTTCTGGTGATTTTATAAAGACAGACATTAGGATGCAGAAATGAGTCTGGCTCAATTTTTACCCCGATCTGATGCCTGGTGGTCAACGGTTGCACTGTAAATGCTCCACAAACCAAGAAAGCATGACATGTGGGACTCAGTTGCTAGCAGACCTGTTGGCTCTTGCTTTCAGATTTCTGGAATTGTGAAAGAATAAATTTCTCTTGCTTTAAGCCACCCAGTTAGTAGTACTCAATGATAGCAACCTGAGAGATTAATAACAGGGTACACATGTGTATAGCCTGGTAGAAATACTGATTAAAACACAAAACAACACACTGACTACAGGCTTCCAAGGCTGCAAAACTAAACATATTGGTTAAATAGATGCCACCAGCTTAAAAAGACTTAAAAAAAAAAAAAACAGTTAACAATGGCAAAAGGATTGCAAGGTCTACCCATTGTTTGAAGATATGTTTTGATTTTCTTTACATTTTAAGTCTAAGTCAAAAGAAAGGAAAAATAGCAAGACAAAACACTTCATTTCAAAATTTGTAAAATAAAGTGGCAGGAATATTTCTCCTATACTATTCATTATATATTTATATTTAGTAATTTTTAGAAATGGATTTGAAAAGTCCAGCTATATTCTCTTAACAAGAGACGTACCCAAACTAAGTGTAAGAAGTTATTCAACCAGATGAGATAGAATGCTTCAGCTGTAGGCAATGGAACACCTAAATAAACCAACTTGGACAAAGGAGATTTCCCTGACTCACTAACAGGAAATCTGGAGGTGGTTGGCTCTGGGGCTGACTCTGCACTTGCTGCCACCCAGACGCAGGCTCTTTCACCTCCCACTTCCCCCACGCTGTGCTTCTGAGATACAGGCCTTCAGGATGACATGTTTGTGTCATTAAATTATGAAGAGAGATAAAAGTCCTGTAAACTCTCTACCCAGAGGGCATTCTCCATCCTAAAATGTGGTCTCCAGTAATTATGAGGCAACCTGGAAAGTAGAGGAGCAGTCTGACTTCTAGCAGAGTCTGACACAGCATAACCTCCTTCTAGGAAAAAACAGTTGCTCTGGGGAGAATTCCCACACCTCCTCCACAGTCAGTCAGAACTACCCACTTGCGTCCCTCTATTTCCACTGGGTTCCAGTGCTGTAGGAAAATGTCGGCCTCCTTTTAGTCTACAACATGCAGTCTCCAGTCCCCTCTTCTCCCTCAATCTGTATCTTCCACCTTTCTTCACTTCTTTCTACCAGTATTGAACATGCCTAAGACTGTTTCATCTTTCAAAATTGTTCAAGCCAAAAAACCAAAATCACAACCCCTTAATTTCACAGACATACTTACTTCTACTTCCTTGTCTTCTTTAAAGTCCTCTGTCCACTCACATGCCCTTTTCCTCCCTCTGGCACTCCAGTAGATACTGTAATATGACGATCCTCACTTCTCACTTGAAACAGTCTCTCTTTCCTAGCCTCCTTTGGAGCTCCGTCTGGGAGGCGTCACCATCACCTAGCCAGTTGCTCAGGATGTCCCAGGATCACCCTGAAGTCATCCAGCTATCTTTCCCCACACTCTCCATCCTCCAGCAAGTCCTGCAGCTGTCCCTTCCACACTGATTTGAAGCCCCACCCTTCCCCAGGCCTCTCTGAAGGTAGCAGGTCTCAGCCATCCTCATCTCTGACCTGGGCACTAAGCAGCCACACCGTTGTTTTCCTGCCTGTGCTCTTGCCAGGACACAGCAGCCGGGGTACCCTGACAAGTGGATCACTTCATGGAGCTCCCCTCTTTACCTCGAAGGCAATCCTTCATCAGCCCTCTCTTCGGGTCATGTCACCACTGAGCGACCCTCATCTAGGCTAGGATACCCTCCAAATTTGCTCCAGGGAAACCTGTATATTCCTCCCAAAAGCAATTATTCTGCAGTGTCCTAACGACTGTGTTCCACAGCTTTCTGAGGACAATGACAGCAAGGGACCTACTGAATTCACCTCAAGCGGCAACTAATAAATATTCCATAAAGACCTGCAAATGTCTTCCCGCTCTCTCCCCCTCCCCAAATTTCTAGACTTATAACATCAACAGATCAAGAAACAAAAAAAGGAAAGCAAGACGATAATTATTTAATTATTGACAGATGTCCCCAATAAGCCTCCAACCATCTAAAAAGCCACACCGGGCTGGGCCATTTGCTATTCTTGTACAATAAGGGCCTGCAGCAACAATGAGGTTGTCACCATACCACTCACAATCCTCCCTCCTGATCCCTCTGTGACTCTTCCCCGGCAGGATCTCTCCGGTTTATAATTGTCTGTGTGTTTTTCTTGTTTTGTGTTGTGTTTTCTATTGTAATACCAATACACTTCCCCCCCCCTCCCCTTGTCTCATTCCGTTCTCTTAAATTCCTCCTATAAGTGAAACCAAATAAATAAATAAATAAAACGACGGAAGTTAATTAAGCCAATTATTTACTCATCTCAGCATAAATGTAATCAAACCTACTGCTGGACTTATCCAGTGATGTATGATTACTTTTCAATAACGGGAAAAAAAAATCTTAAAAAAATGACTCTGTCTGTGTTGGAGCAAGGTGGATTGACCAAACCTATTGACTGCAGATGTTGTCCTGGGTTGAGTGTAGAAACCCTGAACTACAGTCCCTGTGCACAGATGGGGAAGTCAGACCCCTAAAATGGCGCTGGGCAGCCATACTGGGGGGCAGCTGTCTATAGCCATAAGCAGAAACCTACGGCAGGGAGGAGTCTTCCACAAAATGAAAGCGAAAGAGGCAGTCAGACAGACGGGCGGAGGATGGCTGCGTCTGGCTCCTTTCCTCTGCTGGTACAAGGGTCCTGGGGCCCGGATCCCCTGATGAACTTGTGCACGGAGGTGCAGCAGTACTTCCAGAGCGCTAAGAGATCTGGAGGCGGAGACTGCGAGATCAGGCAGGAGCCAGGGAGCCCACCCTGCTTCAAGGTGCTCTTCTTCCGGGAGGACGGTAAGGGGCTCCGGGCATGGGAGAAAGAGCTGGGGCTGGGGCTGGGG